TTGAATTTTATTTAAGGAGAAATAACGATTATTTCTAACCTTAGGGATGAAGTATGAAAGGATGAATTGTGAAGATTAATGTTTATATTTATTCCGACAGATGGCGCTAGCCATCAATAACTTTTATTTGCATAATCAAGAGATGCCTTTTTAAAAATCTATATTTCCATATATATTGGCTAAAGTCACTACCCATATATTTGATATAAACTTCAATTACTCACAGATTGGTATATTTACTGAAACAAGAAAACCACAGCGATATTGAAATTTATGTTGTGGGGAGTTTCAAATAACAATAAAGTTTTGTGTCCCAGAGTCCTTATATAGCAATAATTTACCAGTGTAGCTGTATGTATAAAATTAATTGCAAAAAGGAAACAAGTTTGCCACATTGTGACGTCTGCTGTCGGATTGGTCCACCGAGTAATTATGCAACTTTTTGTCTCTTAATTTACGACTGTGGTAAATCTTGTGAGTGGAAAGTCGAGCAGTCGCCAACTTCTACCTACCATGATTATCATGGACTGTACCATGTGTACTAGGGATAAGCAAAAAAATCTTCTGTGGAGTATTGTCGCTGACATTGTTGGAGGACGGATTGATATGTAAATATGTTCTACAAATGGTAGATAGTGGTAGATTGTAAGAACCTTATACTGTCAATGCGTCACTTGTCTACCCATGTAGAACACGGTAGAGTGCCATAGTGTCCCATGTACAGGACAGCTATTTTAGAACACACGATATAGGTGCCACACTTTCCTGTGTTCTGGTAGATGGTGAAACTGGCGAAACCGCTGGGAGGGTTCACCTTTGATGAGCCAGGCCGTCCCATTATTTTTCGGTCGCAGTAATAGCTCGATAAAAAAAAAGGTTTCAGTTAATTTTTTTTTTATAGAGCGCACAAATCTGTAAGCAGATAATCAACTGTTCTAGAAAGGAATATCTTGATGAGTGTATCGTTACTGGGTAGTCCCTGTGTGTGGGGGACATATTTACATACAACACCTGAGGAGGAGTCAACCCTCGAAAGCTTGCCGTATTTACACTCATGGACAAAACTTTAGGAAGTGGAAGGTCTTTGATATCGGCGGTCGTCTGTGTGTGTGTGTGTTTTTTTTTTTGTTGTTTGTTTGTTTTTTTTTTTAAAGAAGAAGAAGAAGACAGAGGCAATTTTGTTCACACTAGGTTATCTCATGTGTCTTCAATAAAGGTGACTGTAATATCTTTCAGAGTTATTGTCTGAATCCCGATATACATGGTAAAAGCTACAACTTTTTTAAGTTTTGTCCATGAGTATAAATAAAGAAGTGCAGTGTAATTTGTCATTTTACATTTATCGAGCCAATTTACACACAAGAAGGTTAAGATTAATAATATATTAGAATTTAATTTCTAAATATTCTGTTTCTATATTTTTACACACAAAACGTTATCTAAAAAAAAAAAAGATGTTTTTTAAAGCGCTATGATTAATGAGTGGCAAAAAACGCCCCGATATAGAAAGAAAACACAATTCTAAACCTTGGTTTTTTACAAGTATGTAAAGTTGGTCAATGTGTAGCTTCCTGATAAACATTTGGTGTTGAGAATTCTCTCAATACAGCAATAAATATAAGTCCATTTGGGAATTGAATCAGAAAAAAAAAGTTTCGAATGCGGGATTTGATCCCGTGTTTGTCGAAATACCGACTCTGTATGTCACCCCTCCACCTTCAAGATGTTTTTTTTTTTCAAATTATAAAGTACTTCACAGCCTCACCAATGAGTACAAGTAACCAAACAGGGCTCTGGTACGCTTGTAAGTGTAAAATTCGAACTGATTTCTACATATGTAAATATGTGGTACACTTAAAGTAAAACATCTTGTAGATAGAGGTTGCCTGGCCGGTATTCATTGTTTTTTTTTAAATAACCCACACTTCGACCTGTAAATTGTTTTTATTTTCTCAACGTTTCGACAAAAATATTTTGTCTTCGTCAGTAAAAATATAAATTAAGCAAGGTGTTATAAATGTTTCACTCCAATTTGCCCAGATTAATCTATTAGCTTGATTGTCTTTATATAATTTTCCCTGTATATAAATATCATGTTACCATTATGTTGTATCACTGTTTTTCCTGCATGTATCCTACTAGCCGAATGACCCGGGCAACGCCCGTGTTTTACCCGATTGGATGTTTTGATTCAAATACTATTTGTTACAATTATAAATTGGCGCCTTAAATAAATGCATATATTAGTTAATAACTATAGCCTATGCGTTTTATCTGTCTATGTACTGTTGGCTTCCGTAGGCGTCTCTTACTGGGAAAAGGAAAGAGAGGATTCCATTTAGTTATTAACTAATATATGCATTTATTTAAGGAGCGACCCGCTCCAACACAATAGTTACAAAAACCAAAAAGCGAGTGGGGGGGGGGGGGGGCAAAGTAAAAAACAAAGTGTCTCGCGTAGTGGCGGCGCCATCGTAGCCACGTGATCGTAGCCAACCAATAGGAGAGCGCCATTCCAAAAAAAAAGCAAACGGTGACAGAGATGATGACGCTCGTAACTGTATATAAAATATTTCTGCTTGTAGAATCTGTATAAGACTAAGAGGTCTTAATAAAGCTTTTGTTGTTGTTGTTGTTGTTATAAATGTATCAGATACATGGCCGAAGTTTCTTTTATTTGTAAGAACTAGAGCGAAACAGTCTCACATGATTATCATGGTCTGTACTAGGAGTAGTTGGAATAATTCAATTATAATAATTTATCAATCTTCCTGTGTATAGTTCCTGTATATTTCTTTGATATCCATTGCCTATATCCTGACTACATATCTTATATTTAAGACGAATAATCCTTTCAATAATTATAATAACGAATAGATTCAAAAAGGATAAGTTTACATTATTCCTGTAGAAGGGCAGCTTGCGCCCGAAAGCTCGAATTTATTTTTCAAATAAAGAAACTTATCCTTTTTGAATCTATTCTTTATTATATATCTTATATTTATATATAAAAAGTGTTATTTATATAAATACGTATATTCAATAGATATCTCTTTTTGACTTAAATTATTTTAAAATGTTTGTTTACTTCATCATATTTACATATTTTATTATATTCACCAGACAACCTCTTGGAAAGTATGGGAGAGACAGAACCTATATTCTAACCCTGCCATTTGATCTATGAATTCAGTCTCCTTGACCTTGTATAACTATACAATGGGATAAACAGAAGGTAAAAAGACCAAATCAAAATAAATAAATAGTGTGTGATGTTTCAGTAACAACGCTGTTACCGAAACGTGACACAATATTTATATATTTGGATTTGGTCTTATCACCTTGTGTTTATAGTGTACTAGCCGAATGAACCGGGCAACGCCGGGAATCGAACCCGGGCCGCCCGCGTGGCAGGCGAGCATTCTACCACTGAACCACCGATGCTTATAAGAAATGGCCATATTTGGGTATTTATTCCATTCACAAAAGCAAACGATGACAGAATTGATTGATGACTCTGATACTTGTATATTAGGATAATCCAAATTGTGCCTTATCGTACAATGGGATAATAATTTCGAAACTTATATATTTATAGAAAGTAGTTGTCGCGGCTTATAATGGATACGTTAGAATTCAGTAGATTTTGATTATATATACAAACACCTTAGGAAATGAAAGCATTGAAGCACGAATGTCTTTTTGCATATAAATCACACTTTCTACTGTCCTTACTGCGATGAAAAATGTTGGGAAGGCTTAGCTCATCAGTGGTGAACCCTCCCAGCGGTTTCGTAAATTTAATCTACCAGACCGCGCTTCTTAGAGCTCTAATACTGTATTGGATCATTATACTTATATACAATACAATATAATGCGGCTTGTGATTGTAAAACGACATTTGAAATACTATTCCGCGTGTGTTTCTTTTCAACGAAAAATCAAAACCCATTTCAAGGAGAAACAACGATCATTTCTAACCTTTTGGATGAAGTATAAAAGGGTGAATTGTGAAGAGTAATGATAAACGGAAAAATAAACTGGACACTTTTATTTTCCATTGTATCATTACTCTTCACAATTCACCCTTTCATACTTCATACAAAAAGTTAGAAATGATCGTTATTTCTCCTTGAAATGGGTTTTGATTTTTCGTTGAAAAGAAACACATGCGGGATAGTATTTAAAATGTCGTTTTACAATGCTTATATATGTTACACTGAAGGGTGGAATCCAAGAAATGGTATTTGAGAAAACTATGGACATAAGCTTATAGGAAAGTAGAATTACATTTAAATATTTGTATCGAGCAATGTTCTTCCACAAACAATAAGTACAAGGCCAGTTGGGAATACATTAATATAAACCAATAACACGCAATCTCTTGTAACATAGAAAAATAGAAAAGACAAACTTCAAGATGACACAGCAATTCATTTAAGGCAAGCACCCCAACTAAAATTTATAAGATACAAGATAAGCAATGAGGGAAGAGTTTCCAGAGTAGAAAAATATAAATAATATCTTCTTCTTCTTTCTTATCTCCACTCAATCACACTAAGGTATCAAACTTGTAAATCTTGAGACTTTTGATGGTGTCTGCTGAGGAAGAGTAGAGCTCATCAATGGATGAGTCAATACAGTTAATAATAATGTATTATAAATAATATAAATATCGAGAAAGAAATTATAATATTCTGTTAATAAAATATAATAAATACTTTACAACAATATACAAACACCTTGTTTAAAATATAGTTTTAGAACTGTCTTCCGTAATGCATTTATAGTTCACAATTACATCACACAATGACATTACAGAGTTAGATCTGCTAATTGTTACAAGAACAGGGCAATGAAAATAACGCTAAACGTTATATCGGGGTGTAAAGCAAGTAGGAATAACACCACGATGCATGTGGTGAGTGAATGTAGATTTAATACGTCGGCTGGGAAAATAAGAAACAGAATAGAAAGCAGCAGGAAGATAAAATATCGTCTGTCCCATTATTGCGTCAAGCTGGTGGAAGATTTCTCCTTCTCCCACTGAGATCTTTACGTCACAACTTTGGTGATCTCACCAACATAAACTCTCTCTCTTTACCTGAATATTTGGACTAATGACACTCATGGACAAAACTTTAGGATGTGGAAAGTCTTTGAGGTCGTCGGTCGTCTTTTTTTTTTATGGTTGTTTTTGCAAAAAACGACCTTTGAAATACTATCCCGCATGTGTTTCTTTTCAACGAAATTTCAAAATTTATTTCAAGGATAAATATCGATTATTTCTAACCTTTTGGATGAGGTATGAAAGGGTGAATTGTGAAGAGTAATGATAAACGGAAAAATAAAAGTGTCCAGGGATGGGAATGGTTGTTTTTGTTTTTTGAAGAGGAGACAGAAGTTGTTCACACTTGGTTATCTCGCGTGTCTTCAATAAAGGTCATTGTAGTATATTTCAGAGTTATTATCTGAATCCCGATATACATGGTAAAAAGGTACAATTTTTTCAAGTTTTGTTCCATGAGTTTAATTAACGATCGCTTGCTATTACTTTAGGGTCAAAAAGGTTTCTATTAAAAAATAAAGGTCCCCTCTCTCGTCAAAATAGACGTTAAAACTAATCGCCATCTATTTACGGTGTTTATAACGTGAGAGATGAACTTTATTGGCATAGTATATACAGTAGAACCTCCCTTTAGCGGACACCTCTCCAAAAGGACAGTTTTCATTTGCAAAATTACCATTTTTACTATTTATCAACTCTCTGGTGAGAGGACACTTCTCCCTAAAGGACACTTTGGCTCTGTAACTAGGTGTTGTCCTTTACAGGGAGGTAGTTCTATTGTATATTTAACATTTTCTTACTGTCTCTTACGATTTACAAAATCAACAATCAATCCAGGATCAAGTCTCTTTTAACATTTTTTTATAACGAATGAAGACATTAAGACGCGAATGTTTCTTTTCACAAATAATTCTACTGTCCTTACTGCGATTAAAAATTATTGGGAGATCCTAGCTCATCAGTAATGAACCCTCCCAGCGGTTTCGCCAGTTTAATCTGGAAGATTTCATCAGAGATAAGCCAGAATTAACACAAAGCAATAACGCGCCATCTATACACATAAAATGAAAGGATTTAAAAGCACGAATGTTTCTTTTATACATAATACAAACTTCTACTGTCCTTACTGCGTTTAAAAAATATATTGGGAGGGCTTGGCTCATCAGTGGTGAACCCTCCCAGCGGTCTCGCCAACTTAATCCACCAGACCGCCTCTCAGAGCTCCAATACTGTATTGGACGATTCTGCTTATATACGCAGCACTGAAGCCAGGTTCTCCCAATAATCTTTCCCTCACATAGAGTAGAGTAGGAAATTTTATTTCATTTTGAAACAAAAAGAAAAATTACGCGCTGTGGAATTTGCATATGAAATTATTTATGTAATAATACAAAGGAAGTTCTCCATGGCAACATCACACAGACGTCCGAACTTCAAAAGATATTTGCTGCGAGGTATTGTCTCACCCTCCTTACTCCCCTGACATTACTCCATGTCATTAATATTTGTTTGACTTCCTCAAAATCTATTTGAAATATGTCTTAAGTTCAGAAATTGAGGAAGCGGTGTAGAATTCTAATATTAATATATACAGTTATCAGCGTCATAATCAAGCAACAATTCTTAATTCTGTCACCGTTTGCTTTTGTGAATAGAATAAATACCCAAATATGGCCATTTCTCATAACCATCGGTGGTGCAGTGGTAGAATGCTCGCCTGCCACGCGGGCGGTTCGGGTTCAATTCCCGGCCGATGCATTTTTTTTTTTTTTTTTTTACAATTTTTAAAACTCATTTAAATATTATACTAATTTTCTACATTAGAAAATCATAGTTTTATCTAGTGAACATTTTTTCCCGTGTCACATTGCCTTTATTCTTCATTGTTGGCTTTTTATATTATATTTACTCTTCATTGTTGGCTTTTTATCTTAAATTTATTCTTCATTGTTGGCTTTTTATATTACATTTACTCTTCTTTGTTGGCTTTTTATCTTACATTCATTCTTCATTGTTGGCTTTTTATATCATATTTACTCTTCATTGTTGGCTTTTTTATATTATATTCTGACCAAAATCTATCTGTGAACTTCACACAGTGAACTTCACACAGACAGAATAAGGCAATTATATAAGTAGATTTACTCTTCTTTGTTGGCTTTTTATCTTACATTCATTCTTCATTGTTGGCTTTTTATATTACATTTACTATTCATTGTTGGCTTTTTATCTTACATTCACTCTTCATTGTTGGCTTTTTATCTTACATTCATTCTTCATTGTTGGCTTTTTGTATTACATTCACTCTTCATTGTTGGCTTTTTATCTTACATTCATTCTTCATTGTTGGCTTTTTATATTGCATTTACTCTTCATTGTTGGCTTTTTATCTTACATTCACTCTTCATTGTTGGCTTTTTATATTATATTTTTAGATTGAGATTATTAGCTAGTATGTAAAAATATTAACTCTGTTGAAATTTAATTTTGTATTTATATATTGTCGCGGAGATAAATAAAGCAAGGGGAAGTTTGGGGATAATTAGTTTATTAAAAGGGAGAGATAGAGTATACGACTTACCCCAAGACAGAGTTAATCCTAATGAGGGACCTCAGCTCCCCCCGCCGGCCAGATTCCACAGAACCCCTCACACCCGGTGTCCAGCGATGATTGACAAACGTCCCATGGGGCCTCTCGTGATTGGAGCCGCTGGGCTTCTTGACATTATTCCCTCCTTAGAAAAAAAACAGCGACCCGCTGATTAGCTTGTCTCAGCCCTTGTTCTGGAAGGAAATCTATCACGGCTGGTGTTCCCTAGCAGAATAGAATGTTGTTCTTCAGGGTCCAGGTAGGGCTTCATCCGAATGACATGGACGATATCCTTGGCTTTCCGTGATCGGGGAGAGGGGTCCACGGGCTCTACTTCATACGTAACTTCTGAAAGCTTCTTGGTCACCTTATAGGGACCGAAGTATCTCTTCAGTAGCTTTTCTGATAGTCCTACTTTTCGGATGGGAGTAAAAACCCACACAAGATCATCCTTCTGGTAATAGACTGGAGTATGTTTCTGGTCGTATAGTCTACGGTCTTTCGCCTGTGATTGTAGAAGGCGTGATCGGGAGAGTTGACGCGCTTCCTCAGCTCTGGTCACAAGTTCTCCAACGTAGTCGTTAGAGATCTCATCTGGTAGGTAGGGTAGTACGGCATCGATGTAGGTCTCGGCCTCGCGGGCGTGGACAAGAAAGAACGGGGTGTAGCCGGTCGCCTCCTGTTTAGCAGTGTTGTAAGCAAAAGTTACATAGGGCAAAACTTGGTCCCAGTCCTTCTGCTCAACACCTGTGTACATGGACAGCATGTCTCCCAGAGTTTTGTTGA